TTAAATCCAGAGTCTGCCAGTTTACCCAAAAGTCTCAGAAACCGTGATCACCTATTATGTAATCATTATCAATTAAAAGGACCTTCAAGTTATCAACATACTTTAATATCTTTTCTGTTATTTTTGCATCATTTTCTAATCCCAGAAGGAGACCGTGGCTTCATTATTACTTTTTCCAGACCAAAATCACTTTTATTTTTATTATTTTTTTTTTTTTTTAGAGTTTGACAAAACAAATAAGGATATAGATACCATCAATGATTAGGGCCATGTTGCTACCAAAACATGTCTGTTAAAGCTGTTGTGGGTTATAGTTTGTTCCCTTGACACTTGAGGTCCAAGATGGGACGATACAAATGTTCACTCCTGAACCTTACACATGATGTGGAATATTCTGCTTACAGCTGAATTGTGAAGTTTAAACAAAGAAACTATCTGGGTGAAAGAAATATCTAGGTTTTTTTTTAAATTTTTTTAGGTTTTATCCAAAACATTAACATTGCATTCTGAGTTGATATTCCTTGTATACCTGATATATCTGGACAATTGTCAATGAAAGCATGGATCTGCTCGAACTGATCGCTGCTCCACCCTGTTCATGCTATCATATCGGAATTGTCTATGTATTTATGGTCAAATAGACAATTCTTCGCAAATCACAATTGATCTCCAAAATATAATTATCATTTCTTTAGATTGGTCATTCATATGGCATGTTAATGTATCACTGTATCTGTATTCCATGTATTTGCAATATTTACCACACTTTCGATGTGAGACTGGGGCATAGAGAAAGTCATCTATACTAAGATACTTACTGTTTGACGAGGTTGTGCCATCTTTGTCGCCTTCACCATTATATTTTGCATCGCAGACTTCATCGTCATTTTCATTTTCATTGTCGCCTGGCCTAGGTGGTTTCTTTTGCTTTTCTTTAGATATCTAACGTAGCACTTTAAACACAAGTTCTTTTTGTCTGTAAAAAAGACACCTTCTTCGGACATCAGCTTAACATCCATGGCTGAACGCTATGAGGATGGACGCCATCACCTACTTTGAAATACTTAAACTTGGTAGTGCATTCAAACCAAATACACTTGTTTTCCATTTTAGAGGTATACAGAAATCATCTTTTACAAAAAATATATGCAGTTTGTTTTTCTATTCAAAAGATAAACAAAATCAACAAAAACCTTGAACAACATCAATAACAACTGCTTAACTAAGTTACAAATAGATATGTTACTTTCTTCTTAGAAATAACAAAATACATAATTATTCTATAAAATCGACTATTCAATTTTATCAAACTTGATGCTTATGTCAGGATGATGATACTACTTTGTGACAGTGACACCAGCTGAGAGCTTGATCATAAGACTGATGCCCAGGTCTTCGTCTTCGTGATACTTTGTAACCCCATCCAAATGATGAAATATGAAATGAGACAATAGTTAAAGGCTTTCCCCCAAGGCGCACTCATCAGTCCAATCATGTTGGATGCAAATGACAAAAGAATAAGAATGCTTTGTTTGTATTATGGTTTTTATGCATATGTCTCGTTAGATACAGAATAAAACTGTGTTGCTTGGTTAAGATTTGATATGTTAAATGGGAAATACTGTGAATAATACTGGTACATGTGAAAATAAACTCATATAGCATCATCCTAACTTCCGAATAAATATGAAATTTAAAAAATAAAGATGTCCATTTAGGTAATTGGTTTTCCTGTTTAAGTATTTTTTACATATAATATCAATATAGAAAGCCAATAATTATGTAGAAATTTAAAGATAATTATGTATTCTGCTGAAAATGGTCAAAGTGTTGCTTTATGACGAGGTAATGGTGCATGGGACATTGATTTAGTGTAGGGCTGCTTTAAATCATGTGATGTCATTAAAACACCCTATCATATGCAACACCTTTGAGAAAGATCTATTAAAGTTATTTGGAATTAGCAGAAAGGGCCGGTTTCCAAAACGGCCCCTTCTCTGATTCAAATTCCCTGTTGGTGGTGCATTGCCCATGCCGTTGTGGTCACAAATCTATAAAGTATAAAGATTTAGGTCACTTGGTTTGTTTTTTATGGCTCCTCAAAGTTGTACCTTTCAGAAGCTGTCTAAGTGTTGATAAAATGTGCATGTTATGTAAAATATTAATGAAAATCTAATCAAATGTAAGTCACCGTAAAGAATACATTCATGGCATGATTGTGACAAAAAATCATGTTTCCATCGCGCCATTTGGCTGTTTTATGGAAGAAACAATCTCAAAAATGCCATTTTCGATGATAACATTTTAGACACAATAACTGTGTTTTTTTAGAGAATACACCCTTTTATGGGCGTTGGATGCAAACCAATTTTTATCCTATTAAATAGTACGTAATATGCTATTGAAAAATAGGAAAAATTATCAAAATGTAAGTGGTGGAACATTTTCAAATGTTGGGTTGAATTAGCCTATGGTTGAATTGCCGATTTTCGACTTTCTTTAGATAATTAACAAAAAAACGAGAGTATTTGCTCGGTATGTTGAGAATATGTACACAGATATGAAAAAAAAAGTGAGAGAAACACTTTTTCATAAAAAAAATCCACGATGGCTACTTCGCAAGTCCCCGTGGTTGAAGACATTGGCTGACAAATAGACAGAACAACAAACAAAACGTGTTCCTTATGATTTTGGTTGGTTTTCGCATTTACGGGATTGTTCATAGCTACCGGCGATTGTATAATACCTATATTTATAAGTTTGGTTAGTCACATGGTAACGGGAATCTTTCATATCGAGCCCCAAACATACTTTCGACATATGCACTCTGTTGCCGCATGGAAAACTATTTCAAGTTTTGTCGGAATTTCTTTACCTGTGGTTGTAATGGTCGAGGGTTTTCCAGCGTCCTGTAATACCCAAGGTAGTACAAGATACTGGAGATGTGCGCACACATTCCCATCGTTCTCTCTCCAACTGGGCACTGGCAGTAGTAGTCCTTTATTCGGGCCTCAACATCGGGTGAAACGGTGAACCGTATCCAAACGTTATATTTCGTTTGGCTTTTGTGTCGAGAATGTATTTGACATCGGAGAAGGTCTGGGGAATGCTAGTAGAGCCACACCTCATAGTCGCCGTCATCACTTAAATGTTCGGTGATGTAACCAGGAGCCAGAGATATCTGATACGTTCCACACGTAATGGTTCTCAAGTAATCAAGATCGAGACGGGGAAACAGTACTTTTTTTTTTTTTTTTTTACACATCAAAAAACTGTCATGAAAATATCCGCTCTGATATTCAATATAAGATATATATATGTATATAATAAGCTATATAATAGGGTATCAGACAAGGTTGTTACTAATTTCCCCTTTTCTTTCAATTTACAACCACATTCAGGATGCGATATGAGAACGTTCCACCACATGGAATTAGTTGATTTTTGGTACACATATGAAACAAGTAAAGCTCTATCCGATTTTCTGATGGAAATTTGCATCCAAAACTATATAACGGGAGAAAATTGCAAATTTATGGCAGTTTTCTTCATAATTGTGTCTCTGCAAGTGCATTTTCATCCGAGAATATTTTTTTTTATGTTTTATGAATAAACACGATGTTTTGGAAATATTTATCAAAAGAAATTTATACTATGTTGCGAATTACAATTTCGTGATAACCTTCTTTTATTTACGAACTTATGTCTTTGATGCTGAAATTGACAACTTTATAAAAAATACATTTTCACTGAAATTATGAAATCTGGGTGTCGGAAAGGTGTAAAATTATTTTTCGGAAAAGAAAAAAACAGTAGTTGAGCTAGATAAGAAATTATACGGGGGCAGGCTCCTATGGAGAATTAACATTACTGGAAACAGGCCCTTTTCAAGTGTCAGAATTGAAGATGGCTGCCGTTAGCCCGTTTTTTGGTTGATTGATTCTGTCAAAAATTGGAACATGTACATCAAGGTCCAATGTATAAAATGATGTCTAACCTGGAAAGCGATTAATCCTACACTTGATAAGTTATTTTTGAAAATGATTTTTTCATTATGATAATATGAGGGTACTCAAACGGTTACTAAACTGTTTTGCTATTTTTGCATGCTTGCTGTTAAATTGGAATTTTTTGTTAAAAGCATATCGGATATAGCCGATTGTCATTCATCATCTTAAGGCCATTATATATGCTATTTAGCTGTGTAATGGATTGCGATTTGGATAATTTTCCAATGGCTTATGCCAGGTAAAAGACCCACAGGTATGTATTTTTTTCTAGTACTGATTTAGTTTGCATTGTAGTCAGAATGGTTCAACAGGTGTTTAACTGTTGTTGTAATGTTTGTTTCAGTGCAATTGACTTGTATACTTGAAAAAAATGAATAAAATGTTGTGGGCTGTTTTTCACCTCTATGCAACATAGTTGTTAAATTTTTTTCCGCTTACTCCAAAATTTACTAAAATTAGAAAACAAAACTAAAACCCACCCTCTTGCTCCTTTTTTTCAACATTTCCCGAAGAACTACTTTTCAAATTAATGTGGCCGTATGCCCAATTTGAATGTCATTTGTGTACGTGTTATTATATTTGTGATAATAACTTATTCCTTTTTTGATGAAAATCGAACATAAAGTGAGCGATGCAGTCCCATTTGGCATCTTGTTTAACAGTATTTTCCTGTGACTGTTATATTGGTCAAATCTTAAAAATAAGATACATGTGAAATAGTTATATATAATTATAAAATAAACATTTTGCTTTAAATCAATTGGTTTATAATTTTGTCTCCCTTTAAAAACCAACATGTTTGTATCAATTTGATAAATTTTCGTTTGAAAATCTGTTATGCGCTTCTCTCAGCCCACAGTTATGTAGGAGGCAGATACATGTGTATTGAACTGCATTGCATTATATTATATGATAACATACATAATGGTGTATATCGGTTCATTCATTCGTGAATCATTTGATCTTCGTTTGCCTTTTACAGGAAATCTGATGGTCCTGTTCGCTATCATCAAGAGTGCTAGATTAAGAAGTATGACAAACTTTTTCCTGGCGAACCTTGCTGTGGCTGATTTCTGTGTCGGTTTATTCTGCGTGTTGCCCAACTTATATAGGTTTCTTACACTGACATGGAATCTCGGACGGGTAGGTATCTGCATGCCTTCTCTTTACCGTAAACTCGTTTCGTCTAGTACACTTCAGTAGGAAAGCGTATTCCGGCCACGTTGTATTTTTTATTTTAACTGGAAATTTCGAGATAGCAATCCGAAATTTTGAGTAAGTAATCCGAAAGTTTGAGCTAGTAATCCGAAATTTTGAGATATTAACCCGACATTTCGAGATAATTTCGAGTTGCTAATCCGAAATTTTGAGTTATTAAGTTGAAATTTCGTGTTGTTATCTCGAAATTTCGGGTTCGACTTACTAACTCAAAATTTCGGATTGCTTACTCGAAATTTCGAGTTGCTATATGTACACTTCGAGCTGCTATCTCAAAATTTTGCGTTGCTATCTCGAAATTTCGGGTTGATATCTCAAAATTTCGGATTACTTATTAAAAATTTCGAGTTGCTTTCTCGAAATTTCGAGATAAAATAAAACACAACGTGGTCGGAATATGCTTCCGTACTTCAGCGATGTTGATACTTAAAATGATTACGTTAGGTAAATATATAATTTCTTTATCATGTTACATTACAACTGTCCATGAATCCATTTGTTAAATTCTTGCTGTTGGGATTATACATTTTAAACCCTTTCCATTTTATTTGAAAAATATCTCTTCTGTCTCACTGCATCCCGTTCTAAATTAATTGCATATTTTGAGAACTTCTTAGCAGCAACAAGGGTTGATAACAATAAGTGTGCTTTCACATATGAGTGGATAATAATAAGTATGCTCTGAAGCATAAAGATACGCGTGATCTCACACAAAAGTAAATAACAATAATTAATCTGAAACAGCAGATAACGATCTGTAGGATCCATATGTCACATTTGATAGCAATAATTTTGTTCTTCATAAAACGATAATGTTCTTCTTAAAAATCCCGATCTGCCAAAGAAAACATATATATATACGTCATGATAGTTCCAAAAGATCCGACAACCACTTCCGGAATGTAAATGATATGGAAGATAGTATTTGATATCTTTCTCTTTGTGGTAATTATACGTGTGACAGCATCAATGAAGTAAACAAGGCTTTGAATGGTCATATATTATACCTTACGGCATAACTCTAGCGTTGCTAACATCGCATTAGACATCCTTAGCAATGCAGAAATTAAATGAAAAGGTTATTGGTGAGCCAGCAAAGAGTTATATATAGTAATATCACATTATTTACAGCCCACATAGTGAAGTAAACGTAACGGCTTTATCTAATATCCCATTTGCCTTAAAAGAATGAAACCTCGCTGAAAAGACTACCACAACGTTAAGACCATTTCGCTATTAAAACCACTTTATTTCAGTTCAAAAATTAGTTCTGTGCGTCTTTGTATTGTTAGCATCACTATTTAGACCACATTTTAATCAAAACATTAGTTTTATAAAGTGCTAAACACCAACTGTGCATTTAATTTCAAGTCACTAATTAAATCCCTTACATCTCAGAAAACATTTTTTTTTTAAGTTTCTGGAGTGTGCATATGCGAGGTATTTTTTAGATTTATTTTCAGTGTCAAACTAGCTTTCCAGCTAATATAAATTTTCAAATTCAGATACTTATTTATTAATTATTAAAAATAAAGACCGTAAGAAAAATCTGCCCGCTTCGTCATACTCACAATTTAGATCACCCTACTATTAAGAATTTTCCCCATTCCTCAAGATGGTGAGGTTTCACTGTAATATGGAGACCATTAGTATTTAATATTTTTTCCTTATTGTGTCTTACCTTAAGGATACTAGGTTATATTAAGGTACTTATTGCACACTATATAGTAAAAGGCTCGAATTGTTCAGCGAATTCCGCACTAAGAATAACATTTTATATATCAAACAGCATACGATGGTATGAGAGAGACCTAATGCTGCATCCAACTGCACGCACGGGAACATTCCAGACGTCAAAGCCACACAGAAGATTTTAGTTATGTATAGATACGTTATCGTATAACTGTGTATTACAAAATAATGTTTGAGGGTATTAGTTTCAGTATATCGCAGATATCGATAGAAAAGTGTCAATGTAACGACTGTTCTAAGTAACAACAGAGATTAAGAGTTTTTATTGGGAACAATCGTCTGTGGTGTAATCAATATTATCTGTTTTAACGATCGAGTCTATTGCATTTGTATATATTATATCAAATCTTATTCAAACTAAATATCAGTCACATTTTCTAGAACATATCAAAGGTTGATAAGTGTGCGGTCAGAAAACAAAACAGATTAGGCATTACTTATCTGCTATATGAAAAAGTTTACAGTTTATTTCAGGTACGATCAGCCTTTTGCCATAAATATAGGTCAGATCTTTACAGTAACACATAAGATGATTTCATACAAGGTTAATTCAATGGTACCATTGAATTTCATCAAATAATCATAACTTTCCTCTTTGTTAATAACACATCAGTTTAAATTGTTAACAACAAGTGCAAAGGGAATTTATGATTCCTTATATCTGAAATATCGTCGGTATAGAAGATATGAGAGATAGAGAGGACATATATTAGTGGAATGTTGTACAAAAGTGAATAGCAGCTTTCAATAAAAAAAGAGAAGAAACGAATTATTTATCATATTAAATCATACAGCCATTTTGTCCTTCCGTGATTATGGCGTCCTCAAACTATTGAAACTTGAGAGATGTCTGAGGAGGTTCGCATTAGTCGTAAGCAAAGTCTAAAGTCAGATCAGAAGGTGCAAAAAGCCTTAAATTCCATATATGTCATGATTTTAACCAATGACTAATTTCAAAACAACAAGCACACTCCGGACCAAAGTACTATTCGAGTAAATTGAATGTAGTATTTATGATGTGTGAGCAAACCTAGGGGACTCAAAGTTCGCCTGCAGTGTCTATCATCTGCAATCTCGAAGATTATACAAAAGACAAAGAGAAAAACACGTTTCTAATACCAATTTGGAATTACACACAGTAGAGTCAGATAATTAATTAAACTGCATCATACAGCCATTGAAAACTTTCCAGTTGGTTTCTCATTACACTTCTTAGTGCTAGAATGGCATTTTGTCTGTAAAATGCAATACGTTCGAGCCAAGCTGGATCCATATATATATACTCTCCCAAGATGATTCGACTGCGCCCTTCATCACCCGACTCGCCTTACGCGTATTCATGTAACAGTATATTAATATATTTAACAATATTAATTGTGCTTAATTGATTTTTCTCGCTTTTTCGTTAACTTCAAATAACATGACATTGAGAAATTATGAAATTAAGGTGTTTTGTCATTGTAGTTTTGATGTGATACTTGAGATACTACATCATTTAGATGATTTACAATCATCAGATAAAAATAGTTTAGAATACCATGAAAATAATTAAAAAAATAACAGGGTGAACGTTTATGATTTAAATGCGATTGATATCGAGTGAACATAACAACTGGATATGTATTTTTAAAATTAGAAATATGACAGTAATGTTCCTAAAGCATCATTATAAATTGAAATTCCATAGAAATTACTCCGATAGAGTGATATGGAACTGGAGGAGGAGATCAACATAATGTAAACAACCAACAAAACCCCCGCCCCTTTAAATAAAATGGATTTGGTATGAAAGTAGCTAGCTGTTGGAGTAATTTCAACATTTATGTTGTAGGTGATGTGCAAACTGTACTACTTTGTCTGGAATATGTGTTACACAGCGTCCATAGTTATACTGACGGCCATCGCGGCAGAACGTTACATAGCAATCCGGTATCCATTACGAGCACGTCGATTCTTCACACTGCGCAGACTCATCATTGCTCAAACAATGATCTGGACGATAGCAGGCCTGTACAACATCCCTTACTTGTTTGTGTTTGATATTGTTGGTGGCAGCTACTGTTTTTACGATTACACTATTATTGACATGAAGGCATTAACAACTGTAAATTTTATTGTCTGGTACGCCATTCCTCTTATCGTTATGACTCTTATTTATTCCAAGATAGGGACTGTTCTTTGGTTTGTTGGGGCATCAAAGAAAGTACCTGCTTTAGAAAGAAGAACTGTCGAACAACAGGAAGATTCTCAATCACATTACACAAGCAGTTCCAACAGTTCAGATGGAATTGTGCAACGATTCACATTTAAATTACACCGATATACGCCGAAAACCAGGATGCTTGTACATTGCGACTGTGCTAGCAAGTTATCTAATGAGAGTTGCAGGAGCTGTATTCATAATGGAAATGTTATGATGAAATCGTCTAGCTGTCACCGGAAGGACAGCCAAGAAACTTGTTTCTGCATTGATCGCAATATTCGTAATGAAAGTTCGTCCTGTTCAGGAAGACCTGAAGGCAACAGCAATTGTGCGTCGTCATCCTCACACCAGTGTGTAAACATAGAGCTTGAGTATAACATATGTGGAAGACAGTCGCCATCCGGTAAACATTTCAATGGATTCCCAGTTCGAAATAAGCGGAGTTCCAGAGAGAGTTTGTCATTTCGACCTCGTAGTCACATGGTGACAACTCCAACACGCATGAACTCTACGCGTGCCTTGCGGAACAGAAGGAAGGTTATTCGCCTCCTCGTCACTGTAGTGATTTCGTTCGCCGTGTGTGTCCTACCACACCATATCCGTCTGCTTCTTAAATATTGGCAAATACGGACACCTGGTAATGGAAGCATTCTTTCTCTTGTGTCTTTTCTCATTCTCTACCTTAACAGTGCATTAAACCCTATACTTTATGCACTGTTTTCTGCTAATTTTAGGAAAAGCTTTAAAGAAATTGTTCCATGTAAGAGACGTTTTTCGTCCAAAGGCTTTCACCAAGATACGAAATTTGGCAGTTTTTGATCTCAGAATCATATCATGTACATATAAAACTGTGTATTGTATTTATATTCACGTAATGCTTTTATTTTTATCAAAAAAGTAATTATCTTATTTTGCTATAAAATGTTGAAATAAAATTGCTCAAATATTTCTTAACTGAAATGATTCGTTTTAGATCATGATATCTACATGAAGAATTTGTTTATACCTAAGATTCGACGTAAAAGTATACATTTGATTAAAGGTTCTTATTATCATGTAGATTTATATCTGTTTTCGGCTATTGCATCATTCTAACATGACATTCGACGCCACCTTGATCAGGAAAACAAAGTGAGTTCCATCTCACTGTTTGTTATTGTAAGTGGTGATTAATGTGGAGAAACCTAATTTGATAAGGATACACATTACGACAGTAGGTTATGTTTAATTACAGGTTATTGACAAGTCGGAAAACTCGTACGTTTGTAATTTTTCTTTATCTTTACGCAGTGTCGAAATCGGGTTACTTGATATACAGCTCCTGCCGTTCTATACACTATTATGTTGTATGTCATCCGCTGACATTATGAACTAAGTGGCATTTATTTGTTTAAAAGCATTTGGTGGTATTTGTGTAAATGAATATAGTAATGTCACTAATTCTAGTAGGCCAAAACACCTACTCGAAGAGGTTATACTAATTTGTATCGATGGTATCACTCGTTCATAGTTTGCGCCAAAGTGACACATCGCCTTAGCAAAATTTTTCCACACTGTCACCTTTGGGACTGTGCGGAACTAATGTAGACCAGCAGTTACATTACAACAATGCTGGCCGTTAACGAAGGAAAATTAAATATCATTTCAAGGGCTCTGGTATGTTTCGATCAGAAAAGACAAGCCAGAGACTTCCTCAGGATTGATCGCTAAGTTAAATGCTTTATTTCAACCGAGAAAACGAAGGGAGTTGGGCGACAGACGGAACAATTTCATCAGATAAATGTACATGAATGAGACTGCGAGCTACTTGATCGGTTTGGACTATTTTTGCCACAGAAAGTGTACAATATTAATCTATTTTTCAATTTGCACTAGACGCACACCCCAACCCTTATCTCCTTCAGCCCCTAAACACTTAATGTTTTGAATAGCATACTATTAGCAGCTGATCCCTGATTTTAATAATGTTGCTGAGTTTTATATACAATACGATAACAATTATCAAAACACAATACAAAATTGTTAAACGTCATATCTAAGGAGAATTAGATAGACCAACATTTTCTGTGTTTGAAATAATGTTAGAAAAAAAATAAGAAGAAGTTTGTTAACTAAGTTTAAAGTTAGAATTTACAAGCATCAATAGAGAAAAATGCTGGAGATTATGCCAGGAAGCACGGGGCACATCGAACATGATGAATTAGATACCGTTTATAAGACATAACGAATGGGACTTTGATGGAAGCGATTCTAGGAGAGTCCCTAAAAGGAGGAAAGACAGACGACTGGTGGAGATGGGAGTGCTTGCAGATTAATTGACAACCTGCTGCCGTAAACGCTTGGGTTGTCCTTTCTTAATGTATTTTAAGTTTAGTTTTTATTTTGAAAAAAATATTAGTATGAAAGAGGCAAGAGATTTCGCAGGATCTGCGATTTTGACTCAAGGTTTGCAACAGGTGTGTTATATAGAATTCAGAACTGATGTGAATTAATCGTCATAACATTTATTATAAATTCAAATGTAGTTTACGCGCGTTTCGAATTGTGATGGTTACTTTCTGGGAAGTGTATATCACCTTCTGATTTTCAATTGTATAACCATCAACTAACGACTATCAGATAAAAAAAATGTAAACAATTCTGAATTTTGTAAATTAATATTTGATATTAATTTCAAGTCTCTGCCTACACCTTTCTATCTAGACACTTAACTTGATTCATTTCAAATTATGAATAAACTAGACGATATACCTGGTTGTAAAGAGATATGAGCAAAGTGCATTTACATCAAGAAAATATTGAAAATGGTATCGATCTTTTTATGTCTATATAGCAATTTATCTCCATGAATTTCTGCCATTTCGTATCAAGTCTAGAATTAGCATACTTCGTCATGCCTTTTCAGCGGTTGACGCATAGTCTGAGATTATATTAAAAGCCTGTGGTTGACTTCTTGTTAAAGATTAAAGATTTATTGCACAGGAAATGTGAGCACTCTTAATTAACAGTGCTCGTCGATGGAGGATGGCCACAGATGAAATGGTATGTCATTCGAGAGTGTTTCAGGTAAGTCAAATTACTTGCAATATATAATAGCTTTTGTGGTCCAACGACCCAAAGCTTCGTTCCATAAAATATCTTTAGTACGACACTATATTGCCGAAGGTCACTGATCTATGTTTGAAACTGAATATGTCAGATGAGATGCAAGATGTACGATGACGCAATAAGACTAGAAAGAGGAGCGTAGGCTGATGGATCAAGACATTGTGTAGAAGTTAACACTGAAACTGCTGGTGAATATGTGACTCCCACTTTAAAACCAAGGCAACATGTTACTTTTAACATAAGAAAAATGCCGAAATTATATCAGATATATTGTGTGATTAAATATGTTTTCTCCTCAAAGACAACGATAGATGTCTTCTAAAGTTATCGGTAATAATAAAATAAACATTTAAGTCAGAACTTCTGAAATATTGACAATCCTTCGACATCAATTTTTGAAGTCATCAGTAAGCGTTTGAACAAATCTGACTCTTTGAAAAACAAATCTGCAATATGCTCAAAGCATGAATGATGTAAACCTGTAAAAGTCCTTGGTCGATTTAATTGAGAAACAGTATATAGGCGAAAACGTTTTGATAAAAATGTTGCTTAGAAGGCCCACATGTCTTACTTTTACAGTGGTTCATTCTGTCTTGATCATCGGGTTGGTACAATTGTGGATCAAACGAGTACTGGTCATTCAAATAGTTTTGAAATATCTAATTTTATTACAAGATTGTTTCGTTTTTCGATATACCAATTAAACATTTTTATGCTACATATATGTCAGATAACCTATTGACTAGTTAAATTGCATACGTAGCCAATGTGAAGCGATAATGGAGACTACTAATTTTGAGCCAATATGACTTCAAGTTTGGCATGCAACTTTCCTTTTTTTCCACAATATCTAAAGTTATTTGATCATGTGATGAAAAGGATTTTAAATTCGTTTTCATTTGATATGCGATTCGTGAATTCATCATATATATGCATTTTACATAGCCAAAGGCTTATCAAATTACAAATTCATCTATCAAATGTCAGACGGAAATTCATACAAGATACTACATACGTGTTGTCGCTTACCTTTATCAAATAAAATGATGTGTCTAAAGACTTTCTATTGTGTCCCATTTGTCTCTGATGTTAACTATGATATACACTGTCGTCTTTTGTTACAGATGCCAAAAACTCACCCAACCCTGGAGCCTATAGCCAATACTACGTAGCTTGCAGCACGCAGACAGCAAGAAATAGTCAGCATCAGATCCAGCTGGAAAACTAAGAAAATAATATCATTGTGTTATTAGAAGTAAACATAAAAAACGTGGTAGGCATTTAAAAATAAATGTTTTGCTGTTACAGGGTTTAACGCGTTCGCATCAGTAAGGGTCAATCAGGTGGAGTGTCAAGAGGGACACTAAGTCTGCAAAAATTAAAGCATAGACAAAGAGAAAAGAAAAATGGAGATTCATTTAAGTGTCCCCAGCAGACCAACCAATACCGTCGCATTGCATAGACAACAGTCAAACAACCAAGGCAGGGTCATTTGGCGTCGCATCCTACAATCATGCAGCGAACAGCAAAAGACTTTTCTTTGACTCCCATATGCCCCCTGTACAGGGACCGGAGGTAAACACTTGTTTGGGCAGGTGACCCTTTATCTATTCATGTCCGTTCAGAGAATCGAACCCTTGACGTCCAAGTGAAAGACGAGTGTTACCACTGCGCCACCTTTCCACATTCTCTATATTTACTGCTTGTTGTAAAACACTTTGTTTTTAACATTAATGTCAGCGGTATGTCAGGTTTACAGCTGGTTGATCTCAAGATATTGTTGAAACAAGCCTTTCTCTACATTTTTTCTTAAATCTTGTCAGCACTAACATATCTTTCCTGTGGTCAAGTCAGACAGGCAAAGCTAACGGAATCCACTTTGGCAATTAAAACCATAGCATGAAATGATCACGAGAGTATAGTGTACATGAAACTTGAACAACAATATCAGAGTCAGCCACAGCTCAATATCAGTAAACTAACAAAAAAGGTCGAATTTTCAAGTTTGATTAATTTAAAACACGTCCTCAGTACAATATGACCAGGTTGGGTGTCCTGCTGGGTGCCTCTAGCTATATACTTCAGTGTATAAGCACTATATATTCAGCTTCCCAAAACACACAGACGCACCAATTACAGTCACCTCACATTAAAAAATGACCATTTGCTGTTGATAGAACAAAATATAAACACATCTACACATAACAATACAAATAATGATAAGGCCGAGTTTATCTCATCGTGGCCACTTTTTCGAAACTTGGTTGTTTAACATTTTATTCATCCTTTTTCGTATGTTTGATGTTGCCCGATGTTATATTCACCTCTTTTTTGCATTTGTGTATCAAAATTCATTCAAAGAAATTCTTGTTTTCAAATTGTGTCAATAAATGTTTATTATCCACATGGTATACTTTGACACCTACTGGAGCCGAACGGGAGACGCTAGGGACTTGACATGACTATGTTTTATTTTTGTTTCTTTAATACCTCAGAACGGCTTTCGTTGGAAGACAGGAAGACAACCAGGGATGAGGTTCCGTCTCCAGACAAATATAGTCCTCGCACAGGGGGGGTCTCATTCCCCGTACTTCATGTCTTTACTATTGACTTACCTAATCATATATATTATTCATATTCAATTTCCTTCCTTCATCCATTCATCATTTATCACTTATTCGTTTATTTATGCCTTCATTCATATTTTTGGT